AATAAATGCAGTTGTAATAGCGTGGTTTTACATTGTGGTATTGCTTCTTTAAAACAAACTGCTGTAAGTAATCGGCATGAAAACGGAGTTTTAGCCAATAGGAACAGTGTCAGGGTGCTCTGTGGTCAAACAATGGTGGCAGTGACCAGTTTACTTTGACGATGAGCAATGATGTCAGATTAGGAGATGGGTTGATGAGAAAATCTTTTGCTCAGTGAGGAAAAGGAGATGATGAAAGACTTGTTATTATCAGTAAGTTTCACTTATAATAAAGCTATAATAAAATAAAGCTGCATCAAACTCACTGCACCTGTGGAATCGAACTTTGTACATTTGCTTAAGCACTATTTTATGTCCATTTCGCACTATTTTAGATTTCATGTAAAAAACATACAATTTATGAATAGGGCGCATTGTTACAGATTGAACTGCCCAACGGTATTTCAAAAGGCTCAAATTAGCTGTTGTTTTACATGCTTACGCAGTAGTAATATAGGATAAAATCTCCCGCATCATCAGTGCATCAAATATTCATGTTAAATCATATTTGGCAACTTTATTCATTTTCGGATCTCCTGTAACAATTGAAATGAACCTATGTGGGTTTGGAAATAGTTTGTAACACAGTTTGTAACGAGGTTATCACAATATAACCCTAACACGTTTGTACATCTTTGAAGATGCTGGTGTGATGACGTCCCCGTCGGACGCTCTCTGTGAGTTTGGGATTATGGGGTCAGATTGGATTATAGTGTAGTTATATAAAGCATCTGCACGGGATTGGCGGCCCGAGCCGAGCATGCGCACTGGAGCGTCCCACCATAACAACACAAGAAACCAGGAGCGTGTTTACAGATTTTTAAGTTGAAAAGTGGGAGTTTTTACAGGAAAGACAACGGCTCCCGTCCCGTGAAAGAGTGCAGGTGAGTTCGCGTGTATTCGGCTCGGCTCGGCTCGGTTCTGTGTGCGCGCGCGTGCGAACCCGGTTTTGTTCTCGGAGCACTTTGGAACTAGGAGACAATAAAGGAGGACGGCCGCGGAATCTGCTGTAGTGGAACCCCCGGGCAGGTATTAAATGCAGACTATCGCGAGTACATGTAAGGCTCCACAGCGTCATTGTGAACACACACACACAACGATGGAAGTCGCAGCTAATGCGACCAGCTAGCTGGAGACGAAGCACAAAACACACTGTTTTTATCGGGGACAAAATGTTCGGAATTCAAACATCCTATCCGACCGCGATGGCAGCTGCTTTACAGCCGACTTCCCCACGGCTCCTCAAACACAACACTGTCCTTTAAGCTCTATCGTAACACGTATAGACCATTATTTGTTTTCAGATATTTCAGGCTAAAGTTCACTGCGTAGTGTTTTTGTGTGCGTGTGTTTTGAACACTGGCGCACACCGAGACCTCAAACTTCTTTGAAGCCGTTGGCGTCGTGTTAACTGTTTCTACTGTAGTGAAGTAAACGGAGCGGACCCGAAGAGCTCAAACGGTTAGTGGTGAGTTTGCGTGTCTGAAATCTGTAGGAAAGTTGTTTTATTTTAATCTCATGTTTGCGTCTGTTGCTGGGACATTTTGCAGCGTGTCCGCTGAGAGCACCCCCCCCCCCCCCAATCCTACCGACACTTTAGGAACTCTATGTACCCTTTTTTAAACTTTCGCGGGGTTTTACATTAAGTTTCTGAAAGACGTGTTTCGCTTGTTTTGGTGCGTTGATATCATGAAAATAAAAAAGTGCGCACTCAGCGTTGTCGCGTGCAGCAATAGCGCTACTTGTTGGCACAGGCCGGCAGTCGTGTGTTCGGTTTGAGCTCTTTTCTTTTTTTACACCCAGCTGCATTAACAAACGTCCGCGTTGAATGCAAATTTACACATGAAGTAAGAGAAGAATGGTCCGTGCGGCCTCTTCACCGTGTTCGTTTGTGTCAGAAATATCGGTGTCGTTTTTTGTCAAAATGCAAAAAAAAATGCTTTATTTTCTCATAGTAGTTCTCAGTAGAAAGTGTCTGTTGTAGCTTTTTAAACTGCAAGCAGGGTGTTAACGACCCGGCAGGTTAAAGGTCAAACTGCTCTGTAAGCCTAGTGTAAAGGTGAGCTCTCACTGTTGTAAGTTATAAGAGCTCAAGAACATTACCATCATGATCCTACATCTTCTCCTCCATTACTTTATGTGCACTTTAATAAGAAAGATCTGAGTTATCACTGAAACGAAGGCCTCAGACTCCCCCTTCTTTCCTCGTTTGGCTCAATAGGTGTCTTGTTTTTTGCACATCTGTCCAGACGCAGGATGTTTTATGTCCCACAGACCTTATTCCAAGATAGCCTCGTAGTCACGAGAGACAAATGGAAATAATGTGCTATTTTCCTTCTAAAGGTTTTGTTAAGTGAATCATGAGATATATATATATATATATATATATATATATATATATATATATATATATATATATATATATCCCCTATTGTAATTGTAGTGTTAAGAGTTAATATTGGATTTAAACGTTGGTGTCTTTGCAGCCACTGTGCCGCCAGTTTTTATCTCGCAATCACAGAAGTGTTGCAAAAGCATGTTTTTTTTTTTTTTTAATGAGCTAAGCACAGCAGGGCCGGCTCTCTCTCAAAGCGCAACTCTACCCCCCCGACTTACCGAGGGATGGAGTTTCCCCCGTTGGCCGCGGCACAATTAAAAATATTACACAAGGAAAGAAAACATTCCGCGATCATCTGAAGCGCGTCCTCAGTACATATGCAGTTGTTTGTACAGTTATTTGACTCAAATGTAGATTTAACAACGTGATGCAATATGATACTTTCAGCAGGCATTGACCAAACACGGTGCAGCCATCCACTAGGTTTCCACCCAGTGTTGTTAACATCTTGCGAGTGTTAGGCCCGGTGCCCAAAGTAGAACTGTTTAAGAGCAAGCCAGAGAGAAGTGTCTGGTTAATGGGGCATTTTGTGGTATTCTCTACTCCCTAGCCCGAGGGAACTCTGGGCCTGCGTTCAGCAGAGCCGTGCATGCATCCACACACAAACACGCAGTCAGCAGCCAGGGTTGTTTTCTCTCTCCCTCTCTCTCCCTCTCCCTCTCTCTCTCTCTCTCTCTTTCTCTCTCTCTCTCTCCCCCTCTCTCTCTCTCTCGCTCCCTCTCTCTCTCTCTCTCTCGCTCTCACAAAACACAGACTGGACTTTCTGCTCGGCTGCTGATGCTCAGTGACAGTGTGTGCGTCAGAGAGGGACAGGGGACATACATAATGGATGGGTGTCCGTTTTGGATGTTTTATGAAGGGCATCCATTGGCGTCCACATCTGTAAAATATGTGAATGGCATAAAAAACACACCCAGGAGGACCTGTCTCTCATGGGGTTCAAACTGTCCCTCAGATGCCCCGGATGTATTTTTTGCTCCCGATGCAAGATTATATTTATAAGCCTGATACAAAATTCCAGCTGCGTCATGCACGCTTTAGTGCAAATGCACATCAAGTGCCGATGTAGGTGAGTCGTGCTTGAAAAACTGAGATTTAACGAATGAACGCAAACCGCTCACGTCGCAGAGTAAATGATGGAATCGGTGCTGAGTAGACCACCGCTACCCGCTGAAGGTTGTGCACTTATTTGGCTGGAGCTTTGAGCCTTGTCAGAACGGATTCATGAAGGGACTGTCGAAGTTAGGTAGCGTGGTTATGTAGCTGCATTAGTGCTGTCACAAGCTGCAATTTAGCCTGTGAATGATTGTCATACAAATAACTGAACCTGCCCCCCTGCGTCCTCTCAGCATTCCAGGATGTGGCTTTCCCCCTGACATTGTAACCTTGTGCTCAGTGTGCACTTAAATGCATACTAAGAGACAAAGTGTCTGTACTTTCTTGTGGATAACAGTGGCGTATGGATGGAGATGTGGGAGGGGGGTTAGCTCTGACACACATAACCCGAACTAGTGACGCTCATCACAGGGTGCAAGTGTGCTGTTGGGAGAAACAGAAGGACAAGCGGGAAGTGTCGTGTGCTGGGGACGGATGCTACTTAATAATTTAAACGCCATATCTGACTGTAGCTGGTCAGAAGGTTACAAACTTTCTTAGAAACCCTGTAGGAACATGTACCGCAGAGTCCCTGCATCGTCCTTTTTTAAAAGCTAGTAATAGAACATCTGGACTGTGTTTCTGTTTGTACACGGATGTCACATTGACACTAAGGCGATCAATGGGTTCACACTCTGATGAGATTATGTCTCCTGGTTGTTTTCGGTGTTGTTGGCGGAGATGTGCAGGCGTTGACACCCCCCAGGGTTACAACCTGAGAAAACTGGTCCTTCAGGTCGCACTCTCATCAAGTCTTTACCACTGTGTTTAGTGTGCGCTGTGTTATCCCCGTGTTGACTACTGTGTGCATGTTTTTTGTGATTTTGCAAGGCTAGAAGTTTGTGTTTCAGCCTAAATTGAAAGACAATGGAAATTCCTGTCACGTTCTACAGTCATGCAAAAACACAAAGCTCGTTTTTTACAACAATGAACGTGTGTTCAAGTTGAGCAAAACACGAACATGTGTTCGTGCATGTATTTTCTGTCAAGCATGTGTGAGCAGACAGCTGTTGAAGCCTTGTGAATGGATTTGTTTGACTCTTCGTTCCAAGCGGCTCCACCCTGCAGCCCCTGAAGGTATCGGCCGTAGACCCCGTTTGCTTCCTTCTACAACCTCCTGCTGGTTTTACATAATCCTACGCCACCCTGCAGTAATGGATGCTACATTTGTGTGAGTCGTGGTTCTGTGTTTGTTTGCCTTTTACAAGGTATTTATTGTAGCATATGTTTGTTAGCAGTGGGACATAATAGGTGTTTAAAAATCCCCAACCCTAAAGTCAAACAGCTGGTAATCTGCAATATATTTATCTTGCGTGAATTAAAGGGCCAGTTTGTAGGATCTGGCGACATCTAGTGGTGAGGTTGCAGATTGCAACCAAGTGAAACTTCTCCTGTGGGCCAAACGTGTAGGAGAACTACAGTGCCAGATGTAAAAAAAAAATAAAAAATAGAAAACCACCCTATCTGTCCTATCTCCTATCCGGAGAAGGACAAGCTAACTAGCTAACTAGCCAGCGGTCCGTCTTCAGAGCTGCAACCACACTACGGTCCCGTGTGTCGTAACCATGACGGCTAACAACAATCGCCTTTTCTTTTTGTACTAGTCAAACGACAACAGAAAAACAGTTCAATGTCCATTGCACTCCTATTCTATTAGTAGGAGTTTCCTGTGTGTTGCCCCGACTGAAAGAACGACTTGTTTAGCTGTTCATTGGAAACAGACTGAGTTGTCTCCACGTGTGTCCGCCTGTCTCTTGGGAGGTTCTAGGTTTCTCTTGGTTCTATGGATGTATAGTTACACTTGTTTTTAATTGACTTCAACTCAACTGGATTAGACATATTAGCCGTGTTAACTTCGGGAGCTGCCTGTGTACTCCAAATAGTAGTGCTTTAAAGAAATAGTAAGGAGAAACTAAAGTTGGCTTCTGATCCTAACTTAAGCTAACTTTGTTCAGTAACTTTCACAGTTTATTAGTCTCACAAGAGATCACTGAGTATTAACTGGGTTTGTTTGTGGCAGCTGGATTGGATCAGGTTACCAAGTCTGTCCTCCATAGAGACTGAAGTGAATGGACTACTGTTTGGTTTGGAGGCATGTGCTGGGATTGGAAGAGCTTTCTTCAGTTCGGGCTTTATTTTTTCTGATTTCTTGTTAGTTTAAGTATTTCATTTTACTATTAAAGTAAGGCACATATCAACAGAAAAAACTTTAAAGTTTGCAATAATGAAATGACAAAGATAATTATTCCAAAGGTGGGCTTTATTAATGGTTAATAAATAATTTACTACAAAAAACAACAACAAACGTTAGGATTGTGAAGGTTGTGGAAACTCCATTTGACAGGTCGGATCACTCATTTCTAGAAAAGAGCTGCAGATGAACTCGACCAAAATGTGCAAATTATTGATTAACCATTAATAAAGTTACAAGTTATAACAAAGACTTTATAAAGGGAGAGTGGCGCCCTATTATTGACTGAACGTGTCTCCATGCAAATCAATGTAGGATGCTAATTGCATTATGTACAGGTTTAAATGCTCTTCTCTCTTTGCATTGAGGAGTGGTTAAAAGCAACTCCACTTGTTTTGCAATATGTCACTTTAAAAAACATTTTCGCGATGGTTCTTTCACGTAATTATTTATGGCAGTAGGCCACTTTCTGATTGTTAACAGGCTGGACCGTTGCAACTTAATCCCATGAAAGAGCTCAGAGAGGAAGTCGCAAATACAAAGTCGTATTTCAGCACCACGGACAGCACACACACACACACACACACACACACACACACACACACACACACACAGTACAGTTAGACTACTGATATTTAAGAGTCATGGTTGGGACCACAGATTTTAACTTGCTCACACCTCAGTCAGATAAAGGATCAATGAGTCAGACTAGAGACTAACATACTCAGCTATACAGCCCCCTGCCTGTGCATTTACTCTATACTAGGGGACAGAGAGGAGGGGGAGCAGGTTGACAAGGGGCATGCATTTTGGTCATTTTACTAACAAGGGCGTAAAATCGCTTACTGCTAACAGGTCAGCACTTCTGAACCCCAGAGACACCCAAACATTGTCCCCATTTCTAGACTAAATATGTCACGTAGGACCAACGGGGCCGTCTCATCCTGTTTGAGTGACGTTGATGAGGAGCTTTCTCTGTTGTTATTGTTGATCTTTTTGTGGGGATTTAGGGGGGAATAAGAAAGCTATGGAAAAACAGAAGCCAAAGTTGTACTTTAAACTTCTTCGCTTTACTGCTGCCATAGATCTGTCCCATTTAAAGTGTGATTTCCAATGGCTGTATTTGATTTCAGGCCACATAAAAGGGAAGACCTATACAAAATGCACTGCTGGAATAATGTTTGAGAGATAAGTTTAAGGTTTCTAGATCTCCTCTGAGACCGCTGCCTCTCGCTGCTCTCTGTGTGTCCTGTAGGCATGAAGTTCCCCGTGGACCTCCTGGCTGACGTCAGCCAGACGGAGCTGGAGTGGTTGGCCCACAACTACATGAACAACCTCCTCTACAGCAACCCCGATTCACCCGAACACCTCGCCCTCTCCGACTCCACCCAGGTACAACCCGCCACACCTGGGCTGTAGCTCACTCCTGACTGGACCAGTGTGCTGTCTTTACAACCATACGTGTCAGGTCATTGGAATGTAGCTAATTACTGTATTTAAATACAATGTTGAGGTACTTGTGCTATACTCGAGTATTTCCATGTTCGGCCTCTTTATACTTCTAAACCACTACATTTATCTGACGGCTTTATTTACTAGTTTCTTTGCAGATTCAGATTAACACAACATCTAAGTAAGTCTGTTTGTGGATTGCTACAATGGGGGGGCAAATGGGCTGAAACCGTGTCTGTCACACCTACACACTACAAACAGCCCATTCTGAAACGACGGCTAAACGATGTGTCTCACGTATCTCGACCAATAACTTTCTACTGTTTGTCTATAGGCACATGAAGCTCAAACAGACCAATGAGCAAAAGAAGAGAGAAAAAACTCAGACTTGACCAATCGGATTCGACGATGTAACTTCTTAGTCGGGGACCTTTTACCAGCTGCAACATGAAATAATTAGTGAATCATTGAATTCATGCACATGGAGCGAGGTGTGGTTAATGCCGTGCACTGAGACGTCCGTCTGTCCTCAGGTCACCATAGACGTCTCCAGCGTGGGCTTCGTCCCTCTCTATGGATCCGGCGACAAACAGAAGATCCTGGCCCTCTTCTCTCCCAGCGACCCGTTCACCGCCGTGGCGCTGTACCTGCTGGACCGCTGGTGGGCGGTGGACGACATCCTCAAGACGGCAGACCCCGCTCGAGGTGGAGCTGTGGAGGTATGAAGGAGATCAACTGCCCAAAGTCAACTTTTTACTTGCCCCTATACAGATGTTATTTATTTATTAGCGGTTATCAAACAAGACTAAAGTTGATTGTCATGCTTGATCATAATTTAGGGAGGGTGTCATCACCTGCTTTATGAGTGACAATGTCAAGACTGCAGTTATTGAAAAGATATTCATCAAAAGACCATAAAATCATACTTTTTATTTGGAAACGCTCGACTGAATATTGTGCGCCATCCATTCAAGTGTAACCGAAAAGTTATTTCAGGTCTGGTGCACCCAAATATATGAGATGGGGTTCTGACTGGGTTGTCTTATTTCCCAGTTTGTGTGTTGGTAGGCACTCCATCTACCCAAATGTGTTTTTCATGACATGTCCCCTTTTTTGTGAATACCACTTTCTTCTGCCTGTCCCACAGGTGGAGACGGTGGGAGAGAGAATAGTTCTATACATCCTCAATCGCGTCGTCTATCGAGCCAAAGAGATGAGCCCTGAGGAGCTCCCCTTCCTCTGCCATGGAGAAAAAGACAGCGCGAAAATCCTCTGGAATAATGGAGAGGCTGTCGGCTTCTACTCAGTCAAACCCTCAGGTAATTTATGTGACGTTCATTAAACGCATACATATGCCCGTACTGCTTACTGCTTACAGTTTACGCCGGTACAAGACCTGATTTAGTCCACGTATTGGTTCATTCCTTTCTGAAAATGTCCTCATGACTGTGCTTTTTGTTTCTCGTGCAGGCAGCTTTATTAGTTCTTTCTCAACCAGAAGCTATCAGCTCCCTGTGATGGACTCCATCTTCGTTAGAAAATGTCAGCGTGGTAAAGGCTTCGGCCTGCAGATGCTGGAGGACTTTGTGCTCAGTTTCAAAGAGGACTGTCTGGGGTTGAAGTACCCCATAACAAAATTCATGTTTAAAGGTACATGAGTCCACCCTGCAGCAAGTACACCTTATTCATATGTAGAGTCTGAATCTACTTTCTTACAGTCTGTGCTGGTATATAGAGACACTAACAGTACATTACCGTAAGTTAAATACACTCCTCTCTGTTCCCTAGTGTGTGGGAAATACCTGTGTCAGTACCCAGGAGACACAGACCTGCTGTGGGAGGTGGAGAGCATAGGTGGGCCCAACCAGAGGACCAATATCGCCGGAAAAATCCAGGCCATGGACCAGAGTGGTAAAAATGTTGTAGAGCTAGACCATTAAAATCCCTCCGGGATATCCCAAAAGATTTGACACCGTAAAGATTGTGTCATCTTGAAATTGCCAAATATTTAATTTAGTAAAGAATGTGCTGCAAAATAGTTTTTCTACTTATCTAAGCACGTCTTACCTTGTTCCTCAGCAGTATCCATGAGTCGGTCATTCACAGAGGAATCACTCGTGATTACTGAAAGGACGGAACCGGACGCGGTGATGAAGGCGATCACCACTCAAATAAAAGAGGCCGGCTCTATAGAATGCACGGTGGAAATTGTGGTGCGTTGTTATTTCTTCCAATTTTGCATATCACGTATTTGAGAAACAAATAATTCTACAAGTTAAAAAAAAATAATCCTGGTCATTGTGATTTGTAGGAGGAAGTGACGCTACTGAGCACTACCAGAGGTGAGTGTCATTTTGCATCTACGCTGTAAACTCTCCACCAAAGTCTCTTTCACACCAAATGTTCAAGGCGGGAATGTCGCGCAGTTATTCTGCGTCACTGCTGTTGTTGGCAGCATTATGCCGCCTTTTTTTGTTTCAAGGCGGACTTTCTTTCATTTTTTTACGTCGGAATCTTTGTGCGAAAGGGTCTTTAGGTTGCACATTAAAGTTTGTATGGCTTAATGTGATGACGTAGTAACGTTGTTACAACGGTAACACTTTCAGAGGCTGAGGTGCCCCTCACAGCCCGGAGTCGGAGTAGCGGCTCCAAACGAAGGAAGATGGGAGAAGAGATTGGAGAGGACAAGTCCGAGAAAGTCATCAGGTCTGTATGAATAAAACCATCACTAGGGATGGGTATCGTTAGGGTTTTATTGATCATAGTTCTCTTATTCAAATAGTCTTTCTTCAGCAGCAATACAAGAAATTTCAAAATCTTTAAAATACATTCACAGCTAACCAATTAGCGAAGTGATTAGCTTTCATGTATTAGCCCGTTCTTCTGATCAAACTCAGCATGGCATCACTAGTTTTCCCCGCAGTAGACGAGGATGGATGGCTGCTCCACAAACGGTAGAAAAGTGATCATTTCTGCAGATTGATGTTCTGATTGTTGGTCACATGTTGTGATAAACTGCCCGCGTCAACCTGGCACTATTTCAGTTTTAATTGTACTGTATCTCAGGTCATAACACAACTTATAATTTTCCACCAATAGGGGTCTCTCAGTCAAACAATAGGCGTCTTGAAGTAGTGTGGGACCACAGTTGCCATCACACAGTGCTGCAGGAATGAGTCCTAAAAACAGGATATTAGTTTGGTCTTCCGGTTCGCTCGTCGTTTGTAGTTGGATGCTTAGTTAACTGAGGAGATTTGAACGTTTTCTTCTACAATATGAACTACATCAGTAAAAGCCCTCTGGTGAATTTTAAGCTTTTATTTGTTGTACAAAAGGCGGTGGCGTACAAGAGTCCCCAACATGCTCAATCAGCTGAAAAGGCTGCCATCAACTGCAAATAGTAGTAGACTATGGCTGTATTTATTAGTGATTCTCATCAAAATACAGTTACAAATATAATAATGAGGAAAGCAGCAAATTGTTGAAATTAACAAGTGGTATCTAATATTTTTAGAATTGAGGATATTGAAGCAGAAACCCCGAGCAAGGATCAAGTTTCTGCGCAACAGAAGACAGAACTTCACGTCTCTGAATTGGTGAAGACTGAGGTGTATATATGCACATTCTTCTTCACATGTTTGTCTACAGACCAGTACAGCAACCTGTTCATGATTCAATTGATCTTGTTTATTTTTAGGGTATGTCCACTGTGGCTCCTGGAGAGCAAGGAGAGCATATGTTGGACCAACCAGCCACCGTCCTAGCCCAACAAGACCTACAAGATGATGACGTTACATTAGCACCTTCGACTGAGGAGCCACAAGTAGAAGATAATGCCCCCCAGAATCTGAACAGCATCTCCTGTGACTCACAGATAACAGTTGAGAATGTGGCATCAGAAATTAAGGAAGAGTGTCAGAAGGAAGACACTGCAGCGCTGGTAGTCTGTGAAGAAGCTTTGGAGGAAGCAGAAACTCTGGACAAAGTGGGAGAGGGAACTCAAGTTGGGGTCACTGATGAAAAGTCGGAAGAGAGAGTAACACAACAAGAGCTAAGTCTATCAACACATGCAACATCAGAGAATGGTGAAGCTGGAAAAACCAGAAGAGCCAATGTAAAGGCTGCGACAAATGTAGAGAGTATAACCCCCAGACGGAGATCTACGCGTCACAGCAAGCAAGAAGAGGGGGTAAAGCAGGGAACTACAGCCCAGAAGGCAGGGGTCATTTTGAGAGGAAGAACTATTAAGAACACCCCTCCACCCACACACAAATATACCCGATGTAACCAAAACGTATCTGAAGAATTAGAGAAAGAGGTTGATGAAGTGGCAGAGGAGGAAGACGTCTCTACAACCCAGGTAGTGGAGGAGTCGGATGGAACTGAGGGAGAAGCACAAGAAGAAGAACAAACCTCCATAAAAGAGGATGTAGTCACGGTGGAAGAGTTATCCGAAGAAAAGCAACAGCTCGAAGATGAACAACTGAAAAATGAAGAGAAGATGGAGAAACAACAGGAGCCAGTGGATGAACAAGAAGCAGAGAACGGTGAAGAAGAACCAGCAGTGACAACCAGAACACTGAGACATGGGAGGGTTTCTACCACTGACACACCTAAAGGAAAATCCAAAAGAAGCCGTAAACAAATCCAGGAAGAAACACAAAAGGGAGAGGAGGAATCTAAATGTGTCGAGGAAACAGGAGTAGGGGAAGAAGATGTAGAGAAGACTGATGAGGAGATAGAGGAGATAGTAGATAAGGTTAAGGAAGCGGCCTCTGAAAATGAGGAGGGTTTAGATTTAGAAATAGATGATGTGGAGGAAGGGGAAGCGGTGGTGGAGCAAAAACAAGATGCAGTGGAAGATAAAACAGGGCTGGTGTCAGAGCTACTAACTGAAGGGGACGAGGGGAAAGCCCCAGAGGAGGATAAAATGGAGGTGGAGAATGAGGAACTTGTTACTGTGGAGGGGGAAAAAGGAGAGTCTGAGGAAGGAACAATGATGCTGACTGGAGAGGAAGAGAACACAGCTGTAGTTTCAGCTGCTGCCGATGATTTAGTACAAGAAGAGACAGATGCACCATTACCTTCACCGGCCACTGACTCAGCTGTACTTCCACCTGTCGAAGATGAGGCAACACCTTCAGCAGAGGAGCAACAGAGTAAGGGAACGGCAACCCAGCTTTCTGATCTCCGAAGAGTGACAGTGGTTTTAGTGGACCTGCAAAAACCCCATCACGACGTCCAGGATGAAACAGCAGCTACAGAGGAGGGTCTTCCTGTACAAAAGACTGCTGCTGAGGCAGAAGAGGAGCAGAGGGAAGAAACAATGAAAGAAGAAGAAACGGTGGCACAGGAGACTGTCCCTGGATCCTCTGTGGGTGTAGAAAAAACTGAGCTGGAGAAGGTGACAGTTAAAGAGGAACGGTGTGAGTATAAAGTGGAAGCAGTCACAAAACAAGAAACAGAGGACGGGAGAGATGAGGAGACAGCTGAAGCGGTCGAAGCCACACCAAGAACCAGAGGCAGACCGAGAAAGGAGGCAGCTCCAAAAATTAAGGAAGTGGTACCGATAGTTGAAATCAGGGTTTTGAGGGCTGGAAGGAAATCATACTATGCCCGACAGAGAACAAAAAGAACCCACAAGCAACTCCAGGAAGAGGAAGAAGAAGAGGAGAGAGGAGAGGACTCTACAGCAGTTGAGGCGAGAGAGACAGAGGAAGAAGAGGAAGAACAACAGATGACTGATCTGAAGAAGGGAGAGAAACTTGAAGAAAGGGATGCAACTGAACAAGCAGAAAATATAGAAGCAGAAATGGCCTCAGAGAAAGAGGATATAGTGGCAGAGCAAGCTGTCAACCAACACGATGCTCAGGAGGAGGGACAGATCGACTGTACTGAGACAGTTGCCGATGTGGACACAGAGGCCTCAGTTGGACAACACGATGATGAGGAAAAGACCTTGGTTGTTGCAGATGAAGCACTCGCCAAGCAAGATACAGTGGAGGGAGAACAGTCAACCTCCACATCTGAAGTGGCGGAAAGTGCACAGGAGACAATGTTGACAGCAAAGGTCGAGCAGGCAAAAGATGTGTCTGAGGAGGAAGTACCAGTTGTTGAAAGAGTCCTAAGAAGTGGTGAAAAGACTGTGAGAGCCACAAAGAAACAGGATGATGAGCAAGAGGAGGAGGCACCGGGAGAGAACAGCACAGAAGAAGATGAACCAGCAGTAGAAATTAGGGTTCTAAGGAAGGGAAGAAAGCCTGCTGATGCCACACCTAGTCGTAAATCCAAAAGAGCTTGCACACAGTGTCAGACCGAGGAAGAGCGAGAAGAAGAAGATACTCCTGCTGAAGAGATTGAAGGAGAGGAAGAAGAGGCTGGGCAGGAATCACCGGAGGAGAAAGACAAAGATGTGGAAGAGGAAGGAGCTCGTAATGCGGCTGGGGAAGAACCTACCGTGGGAGACGCAGAGCAGACGAAGGATGCCTCGACAGAGGAAGCAGGAGAGCTTGAAGAGGAGGTCAACAGTGTGGAAGCTGTGGATGGGATTGGTACTGACACTGTCCTACCTTCATCAGCTGAGGAGGAGGAAACCGCAGTCGTAGAACAACCCAATGCTGCGGCAGAAGTGCGATTGGACGCTGCCACCGCTGAAGGAGAGGCTCTAGTTGAAGATGCATCTGTGGTGGCCGAAGATGAAGCTCCAGCCGTAACAACAAGAGCATTTTGGAGCAAACAAAAAGCGTCACCTTCCACACCATCTCCAAGATCCAGAAGGCAGAAAGACGATTCCCCTCGAAGATCCGTACGAAAAAGACCAAAGGTGTGTTACAGGGAAAACAATGAGGGTGAGCGAGATGACACTGATGGCAACACTGACGAGGAGGTAAAGGTTACAGTAGCATCAGACGAGGACCAAGGCAACGAGAAAGCTGAGCCTTCTTCGGATACAGATGAAGAGGTAGAGGCTGCTGGATCAAGCCAAGAGGACGAGGAATATGAGCAGAATACATCCGAGGAAGAGGAGGAACCCATAGTGATTGGGAAGAGAGTTTTAAGGGGGAGGTCAGTTCCTTCAGTAATAATAACCCCGCAGTCTAAATCCAGACGCCGCAGCGCTAAAGTGTCCAATGAAGAAAGGAGCCCTCGATCAGCTCAGAAGAGAAAAATTACCGAGGTGACACGCAAATCTAAGCATCTCAGCAGAGTTTAGGATGTTCACAATACCATCATTGACAATGACACAAAAGTGCATGTGTGGAGTCACTAAACTGGGAAAATGCCAAAAAAGCAAAACGATATACTGTATATATATTTTCATACGAAATTTTGAATGCAGGCTCACAAAGCCCGGTGGAATGCAGGGGATACTCGTGACCACAGGGGCCGCTGTGGTAAAGGTCCATGATCTTGCTTTTAGGGCCACTATTATCTATTCTCTCTACCCCCTCATTGTAATCTGACCTGGGGACAGTGTCTCTCACCAGCATGTCTCCGTTTACCAAAAACAAAAACCTACGCCACCCTGACCATTATAACGACATACAAGTCCTTCACACTGTGTTGGATTTGAAAAGCGTTTTTTCCTTTTCCCAGTTTGTATGTGAACATAAATTATATTAAAGAGTTAAAACACCCAAGTTTGGTCAAGAAGAGACTGGGTTCATTGAAATCTGCACACAAAAACAAATGGACAAACTCGTGCAGGGTCCACAGTAGATTTCATTTTTCCATTTTAACTGAGAACTCTTACAAGTGGGGAATTATTATTTTTATATTGTAAAAATGTGAATGTCCAGTTTGCATCATGTGATGAAACAAATCTCAACTATAGCTTTTAGTATTTTTTTACTCGGCAACATGTCAGTCAGGAATCAAATGAATAAGTCTAAATAAGAATAAGTCTCTTTCTTTAAATTGGTGAAACGCTCCAATAGTTTTTGACTCTACAGAGGAACCGGTTATTTTGTATAGCTTGTTTATGTACTTTGATTTAAAAAAAAAGAATTACCAAAACATGTTCTTGCTTTGCAACTATCAGCAGAACTCAGGTCTTAATATTAACATCTTCTCTTTTTTTTTTTCTATATACATTTCACATGTAGAGATTTGTAACCTGTAGATCCATCTAACATGTAATCACCTCTCGTGTTACGCTTTCATCTAACTTAGTGAAGTTGAGCGGTACAACCTGTAGAGAGGACGCTTCTCAAGTCAATGCCCTCTATCACGCTTCTTGTTTTTATTAATGTGATTATTTAGTCTACATTATACATCCATGTGAGTTTAAGTGTTGATTTTGTCTGCATCATGTGGAGGATAACATTTAATTAGCTGTGTGATGTAAAGCTGTGATCTTTCTCGAATGTGCTTGTGCTTATTAGCAGATGCCGTTGAAGTCATTCAAGGTCACTAACATTTTTTTGTCTGTGTGGACTTTTCTCTGTGAAATGATGTTTCCATGAGCTGAAATTGTGGTAAATAAAGGTTTCTGAAGGTAGCAGTTCGACTTTTGTGCTTATTGGGCATAAACCTTTCTCATTGGATCTTAGTGTTCGATCGAGTCTTACATTTAAATGTTGTCACTGACTACGTTTACGTGCACACTCATATTCCACTATTAAAAAGAAGAAACAGTTAATGCCAAGTATTTTTATTGTCTTATAAGATTTATTAAGGCAAATAAAACATAAAAGCAGGTTAATGTTTCAGCTTGATTACATTGTTAAGGGTATCCAACATACAATTTGTCAGGTACTGTATCTCATTGAGCCTCCATCATTATTTCAGGGGCAGGCTGTGGGATCAGGTACATGTTGACAGGGATCCACCACAGACCGGACTTCTCCCATTTGGACAACTTTGTAGGTCCCAGAGATGGACGTCCATGTGGTCTTCCCGTTGCTGTAGGTGCGGCTGAGGCGTGCAGTGTAAGGGATGTCTGCCCCGTACTTATACCCCACCATACTGACACCACAGGAGTGGTTTGGTGGGACATTGTGCGTAACAGAAACAGTGTGGGCGATCGACTTGGTATAAGTTGTCCCCTCACTTAACTGGAGGGTCGTCTCCGCGCTAATCTCAATGCTTGCAGAGGCAATTATGGGGATTCCAGCAGTGATGGCAGTTTTGACGCCCGCTGTGATAGAAGAGCTGGTGTCCCACCTTTGCTCCTCTTGGATCGTCTTTGAGAGGGAAGCTGTCTGTGTCACTGCCTGGCAGTCCTTGTTGGTGATGGAAGCTTTGTCCATGGTCTCTGGAGGATAAGTGATGATTTTAACCTCATCAGTCTTGTACTTGACATCAGAGATGTGCTCACTGTAAATATCTTTGTTAAAGGTCAGGACCTGGTAGGTCTTGTACCAATACTCATAACCCTTCCAGGGAAGGTAGAAGGCCGGATTTTTAACATCCACCTTTCCAAGACCATACTTGTTCTTCCCAACATAAAGGTCTCTGGAGCAGGTACTGACTGAATTCTGAGGCACTGAACCGTAGGAGTCATCCTTCCATTCCAAAAACTCAAAGTTGTTTTTGTTCACCAGGATCTGAAATTGGGAGCCAAGATAAGCTTTACCGCCAAAGGGGTAGTGGCAGGAAGGAGTTGAATCCATGTCAGGGTTGTAGAAGCCGGCAATACAGTCATATTGGCAAACATAGTCGATGCGTCCAACATATTCGTTGTAGATTGAAACTGCTCCATCGGGGAGAGAGCCATCAAAAGCCTTCCATTCCAGGTTGGTTTGATACAAGTTGGACAATGAATACCGGGCCAACGTGGTCTTGATCTCCACAGGAGTTGGAAGAGCTTGATCTGTCATTTCGTTATCAGAGATATTAGGAACCCTTTCCTCCAGATTTGGGTTCAGCAGCAGGACTGTATAAAAGCAGGGGAAAAGGCACAGATAGGAACAAAGTTTAAGTATAAACCACATGACATCAGTACTCAATCAAATCGTTTCTAATCCTTTTGAAGCTAAGTTTTGAAGAATTCTTTATCGGGCAAAACAAAATCTGGCCGATGGAGAGCAATAAGCAAAACGTTTACCTTGATATGATTTTTAAATCACAATTCAAGGGACGTCAGCGACTCTAATTTCCAGAGAGCTTGGATATCTGAAGCAAGAAAAGCCTGCAGTGACTCAACAAAGGGACAAATGTTTTGGCCTCTCGTCCACACGCAAACACAGTTTTAAGTCACTAAAATAGACATTTTTTTAAAATGCCTTTTAAGGTGTACTTAAAAAAATAACCCTGTATATTATGTGTGGACACATTAAACAGAGTTTTTGGGAAGCTTCTGAAAACAACAGATGGTTTCATGTAAACAAGAACCAGCAAAGATCAGTCAAACGGACCTGAAGTAAACCTTCACAGAGCTTGAAGCAAAGCAACAACACTACCGTGTCCCATTCAGCATCAACTGTCCCACAGAACTTTGACCGGACGGTCTGGTTGATATGATATTAATGTTTATCATGTCTTTTGCTTGAGGAAACTGGTTCCCCATCTTCTCAGAGTTTTCCTGAGCAGGATACTGTTCTTTAAACCACTGAGATGTCTGAATATTTCATATAACTTCCCAATCAACGTTTTCTTGTAAAGTGACGCTAAGCAGGAACTCCACCTCATCGTTCGTCCACATGAGTTCAATTTAGTTTTTACTGTGAAACCAAACATCAAGTATGCATAAATAAATACATAATTAGCTGTTGCTTCACTATGCTTTAGTATTTGTTAACATTGCCAAGGGAGAATAAGCTCACTGAGCATGCTCAGAATATTCTTTTATGGTATTTGAGGTATTGTTGACGTCACCTTTATCACCACCTATATACTGACGTGACTCAAGAAGAAAGCCAACATAGAGGGCTATCATGTCAGTTAGATTTTGAATTACCTTTTTGGGATACCGTAGCAACTGGATTTACACAGTATTGTTATTTTACACATTGTAGTCTTCTGCTGCTGAGTTTTAAAATGTGATATAATGATGCTTCACGCACCATAAATTGAATCACCACTGAGATTCCTTAAATCCTCAAAACAACAAACCCAACAATTTGCGTGGCATCAAAAAACATGATCTCTGTGAACTGACCACAAAACCAAAAAGCACATTTGTAATACTAGGAATTTAGATCAATTTAAATAATAATAATGATAATAATAAACAAACAGCTTTTTTTGTTTTCTCCAAATATTAAAACTAATTCCTCCTTTCCCGTCTATGTTCATGTCTTTTTTGCTTCCTGCATTTGTGCTAAAACAATTCATATCCTCATCAAGTTATGAACAAATGATGAAACTTGGAAAAGGAGGCGTTTTAATTCTCAAATGAGATTTAGCGGTGCTTAACACACCACAGATTTAATCATCGCCGAAATCTTAAATCATCAACACATCAAACCGAAATGATTTGCATGTCTTGGCTCCACAGCGGCTGAAACACTTGCAACTTAAATCAGTTGAAATGAATTCAGTGTTTTCTCACAAGATTAAAATGAACTCTTTTACATCTTTTTTTTAAATTTAATTAAATTATTTTCAAGTTCTGTCCTTATCCCATTTGAAGTGATGCACACATGAGGACAAAAGAAACAGCAACATGGAAGATTCACACTGTGATGTCAGTTTCAGTTTACCTGCTTCTTGGTACTTGTTACAGCTGTCGTACTTCTCACAGCTGTCTAGGCCGGCTGAGGACAGAGCCGGCAGCGCCAACATCAGCAACACAGACAGCTTCATCTGCAGAAGAAACACAGAACAGGATCCCTGTTACACTCACCAGCAGTTTGTAGCACTAAACCAACATTAAAGCAGTGTTTGGTTTATTATATTATGTGTCATTCATATTATAAAAAAAAAAGAATGAAGATAAAAATGTGAAAGCAGCAGAATCACTTTGGTGGATTTATGGAGAAGTTGCAAAAACTTACAGTCACGACGTTCAAAAGTCCAGCAGAGGGTCAGGCAGGCAGGTACGCAACAGTTTGGTTCAAGCAAACAGGTCACAGATGCTAGAAAACAAAGACGTGATGCACACTGAAGCTTTGTCAGTGACTGCGGTGAAGAGGCTGCTATATAGTGTGCTGATATGGAGATGGGCGGGGAAAGCTCAGGTGATTTTAGTTTAATACTCAAACATGTTGCTCTAGTTTGTTTGTAGTTCTTCTCCCTGGGTGTGTTTTTTTATCTTCATAGATTAGATTAGATTAGAACACTTTATTAATCCCCAGTGGGGGAAACTCATTTGCCACCCACAAACTCATACTGACGACACAGTCCACAGTACACAACAGACAAAAACACATTACAAAAACACATTACAAAGGATACATAACACCAGACAATGCCATATAAAACATGATCGACATCAGAAAGTCCGATTAAAAAAATCGGACTGCTGCTGGAACGAAAGACCATCTTAGTGGTTCAGTAGAACACTGAGGCCTCCTGAGTCTCTCACTCAATGAGCTTCGGAGTCCGTTGAAGACACCGTGTAGTGGACGGCCTTCAAACAAGACAATCGTTTTTAACTTGGCCCTTGTTCGCTTTTCAACAGTGACTTCTAGTGAGTCTGGGGTAAGGCCAATCACTGAGCCAGCCTTTCTGATCATCTTATTGATCCTGTTTCTATCATCCGCAGTGATCCCCCCCCCCCAGCAGAGCACAGCATAAACAAGAACACTAGCCAAGATCCCCTGATAGGAAACATGAAGAAGCTTCCTGCTGATGTCAAATGAACTCAGCTTCCTCAGGAAGAAGAGTCTTGACTGAGCCTTTTTAAAAACAGCATCAGTGTTCTTCTTCCAGTTTAATTTACTGTCCAGATAGACCCCGAGATATTTATACGACTGGACAATTTCTATCTGCTGACCTGCAGTTGTCACTGGGGAGACCTCCTCCTTCTTCCTTCTAAAATCAATAACCAACTCTTTGGTCTTTCCAATAATTAGTTTTAAAAATTGTTCATCACACCAGCTGACTAAAGATTCAACCTCCCGTTTGTAGGCCAGGTCGTTGCCTCGGGTAAGTAGACCAACCAGGGCAGTGTCATCTGAGAACTTCTGGATGTTACAGGACACATGGCTCTGCCTGTAGTCAGCTGTATGAAGTGAGAATAAAAACGGGGATAAAACTGTTCCCTGTGGCGCTCCAGTTTTAGTTAAGATAGTGTCAGACAGTTTGTTATCAAGCCTGACAAACTGTGGTCGAGACAAAAGGTAATCCAAAACCCAAGCAACAGTTGTATTGTGCAGTTTGAGTGTCATACGTTTTTTAGCTAAAAGGTGCGGTTGGATTGTATTAAAAGCACTGGAAAAGTCAAAGAGCATGATCCTAACAGAGCTGGCAGTTGTTGCAAGATGACTATAAATACTGTGGAGCATAAAAAGTAGTGCATCATCTACTCTACATGGTATTCCTTCTTGAGCTGTGTAGTCTGGAAGCCTAATGAGGACTTCTTTAACACAATAATGCAAACTTGAAAACGAAAAATGTATTCCGCAGTAGCATTATAATTTTCCACAAATGTTCGTGTTATTTGAGTTAAGATGTAAATAAAGACAATTATTCTATTGTTTTTTTCAAATGCTTATATGGCCGTTCTATGACCATATTAAGATGAAAAAGAAAAAGCTATTTAATGCAATGTAAATAATGTAACCTTATTTTCCATTAATGCAAACAATTTGTATGCCTAAAGGAAAAAGATATTGCAATTTTCTAACAATTTGATAATGAAAACGACATTTGACATTTCATTTTCAAAGACCTAACCTGCTGCACATTGTTCAATATTCAAATGCGATAAATGAAACAGCGTCACCAGTCTGTTACATTTACATGTCAGCACAATCTGTCAGTTCTCTCATCAAGAAGGGTCTTCAGTTAGGACGTCAATCATTCTCTGTATGCCGGACACTGTCTGGAACCTGTCTTTTATGATGGTTGGAAGGAACAAGAATGAATGAAGATGGAAGTGATCCACGGTTTCCATGGATCCTGGTTATATCTGGACCCTGGTCCTGCCTGCCACCCACTGCTACTATCATTATTAGTAGTCGCATTGCTATTACCGATACCATTACTGCTTCTGTTATTGTACTATATCCACTGCTTCTGTTGTTATTAGTAGTCGTAATGTTTCCATCATTATTCTGCTCACTACACATTATAGGAATCATTTGTCATTGAATGTGTTGTAACTCTGTGATGTTCATTCTGTACACATGACATCTATCACACATCTGTCCATCCTGATAGAGCATCCTCCTCTGTTGCTCTCTAAGCTCTCTCCCTCTTTTCTCCCCGCTAGAGGGGTTTTTTGGGGGAGTTCTTCCTGTTCTGATGTGAGGGTCCTGGGACAGAGGACAGAAGTTGAAAAGATTTGGAAGGAGTGCTCCAGTATTTTACTGTCATGAGTCAAAGGGTGAAGAAGATAGTATTTCCCACTAGCTTTATCTGCGGTATGGCAGTTTGTTTTTCATGCTGTGCGATTGTGTAAACTTTTTCCATATAATTTCATTGCAGTTAATGAATAAAAGAGATTCGGCACTAAGGTCTCTCCCTCTTTTCTCTCCGTTAAAGGGTTTTTGGGAGAATTCTTCCTGTACTGATGTGAGGGTCAAAAGGTCAGAGGATGTCGCTTGTGTACATATTGTAAAGCCCTCTGAGGCAAATGTGTGATTTGTGATTTTGGGCTATACAAAATAAATTGAACTGAATTTAATAAAAATGCATGTGATTTAATTAATTTAAAGTCGATTTCATTAAAAGAGTCTTGATATGATGAAAACAGAGACAGGAAGAGACATTTTGCTTTAAAGAAAATCCTGTTGCAGTTCACGGTTTACCTTGTGGGATTAGGAGTGGATCAGAGACTCAGGCGCAGACTTAGACAGAGGACACAAGGTGAGATGTATTGCAAGGCTCTTTACTGGGCATCAAGCAAACAAAAATAGAATCCAAAAACAACTTCAATAGGGAGTGAGAAAAATCCAACCTAAAAATAAAAGGCAAAGTCACAAAAGGGCTTGGTCACCAAAAGCACAGACACAAACCGTGGGGCGCAGAGGGTCAACACGAGGGAATAACCACAGGCGAGCGAAGAGTCCACGGGAAGGGAAAAGGAACAAATGATAATCCGGCAACTGGAACAGGGCAAGCAGGGGAGTATAAGTATGTGAGGGGTGATGATCGGATTGCCGGCAGGTGAGTGGAAATGAGTGGGGTTTGCAGAGGGAAAAACCAGGGGCAGGTGATTTGGCACAGGTGAAGAGAATGAGCATGATCAGGAGAGACACACACGTAGCAAAACCCAACCGTGACAAATCCTTTATTAATCAATTAAGGAATCAGTGAAAGCAGACCAGACAAAAGAGGAAAACAAGCAAACTATTTCAAACACATCAAGACGTTCAACCACCTTTTCACAAATCAGAAAGAGAACTAGAATCACAGCCTTGCGGTTGTATGCCTTCGCCGAATAGTTTGGAGTTTACAACCCCGTCTGTCCAAAGTGTCATCACTTTACTGTTTTATCCTATTAGACATTTGTGTGGAATTGTCATAATTAGCATATGCATTTTTAAGTTATGGCCAAAAACATGATTTTATCACCAAAATCTAATCAGTTCAACCCTGAGTCCATGTGGACCTTTTTGTTCCAAATTTGAAGAATTTAACTCAACGTTTCCTGAGATATCGAGTTCACGAGAATGGGACAGACGTGAGGTCACAGTGATGCTGACCTTTGACGACCAACATGTAATAATTTCATCCTTGAATCAAGTTAGATGTTTGTGTCAAATGCTCAAGTATTTTACTGTCATGAGTCAAAGGGTGGAGAAGATAGTATTTCCCACTAGCTTTATCTGCGGTATGACTGTTTGTTTTTCATGCTGCAACTTTTTCCACATAATTTCATTGCAGTTAATGAATAAAAGAGATTGGGCACCCGCCCCCTCAGTCATTCCATATCGATCTCAAAGACAGGCCTTTACCTGAAACCATCTTGTTGTGTTAATCTTTGTGGAATCTTTCAGTGAACGTTGAAGGAGTGTTGAGAACTGTCAATGTCAGCAACTCAGAATTGACACTGTGAAACTTTAATGATCCTGGCAGTAAACGGCTATAAACATGCTCTCCAGCCGTTAGACTAGAAATCAAGAACATGAGGACTTCAATTCATTACCAGGTGACGATCTACAGAGTTCATCATTTACACTGAATTAACTCTTTGGGCGACATGTTGGTTTGTAAGACAGGAAAAGAAAGATGAATTAAAGGGAAACAGCACAGGCAGAACATACATTTTACATGCACTGGTTCATTTGGAGATTTTGGTCTATTTTCTTCCATAAGTAAGTAAGTAAGTAAGATATATTTATAAAGCGCTTTTCATAGACATTAGTCACAAAGTGCTAAACAGGAGCGGAATTACAAACAAAAATAACACAATGTGACCAAATAAGGGCCTATAATTTACATTTAAGAAGACAGAAAAAACAGAAAGTACACAATTAAAACATGGCTTAAGGAGCAGGCATTTGCCAAACTACTGCACGACCACTGCAACAGCAGCATTTGTAA